CCCCAAAACCCCAAAACCCCAAAACCCCACTTGTAATGATGGCCGATCAGCATTAAAATAAAGCATATGATTAATAAACAATTAGTATACATATATATTATCCCTTAGTCTGTACAACGTTTAATAGCTTTAGCAAGTTAGTATTTGAGTCATATTAAGAGTATTATAACTCATTTCTCATTTTTTCTATCTTCAATCCTCTCTTAAAGTTTGCTTATCTTCGTAAACAGCCTTTAATATAGAAGCAAGAATGTCGAAATCTTTTTATACACCATCTCCTCCTCCTTTATTTCTATTAATATCTAAGTCCAAAAAGTCGTTAATTCTTATTTGGAGCAAGCAGACTTCTTAGCTGGAGCATATAGCTGTCTCCTTCGCCTTAAAATTATCCTCTTCAAAAATTATTTCTTCACAAAGAGTATCCTCTTTAGTGAATTCCTTTTCATACATAATCGTTTGTCCATTCTGTTTGATTATCAATGATAATGATCCAAATAGAATGAAATACAAACAGTCGATTCTATATAGAAATTAGAATAATGATATACTTACGGTTGATTCTATTCATATATAGCTTCATCTTTCTTATGTCTGATTAAATAAGATTTTTCTATAAGTAATTTAAATGCATTAAAACTGATTTGACTCATAATTGGATGTCTAAGACGAAGTTTTTTCATGAAAATTAGTTCTTAAGATTGTTTGCCTTCTGAAAATGCAACTTAGAAATTATCAACAATATTCTTCATATTTGTCTCATCATCCTATTACTGATAATCTGATTGATTATTTATAGATCTAGCCTATGAATTTATATCTAGCCTGAGTTCATGAATTGCTTGCAACTCCTTCTTCCTAGAGTTGTAATTGATCTCTGATCCCATTCTACTGGGATAATCAGATATATTATTCATACTGCTAATTGAATGTTACTTTGAATGAGCTGATATAATGGTATTTGGTGTATGCATATTCCTATCGTATTCATACTATCTGTTTATGGCCTTCAGATTCCCAAAATTAACAATATTTTATTGCTAGTGTTGTTGTTGCTGATTCTATTAGTTTCTTGCTATTGGTGGTAAGATGAAACTAGATTAATCATTTTAAGATTAATTATCAATTGTTCTTTTAAGATTCAATTAAGGACCTTTATATTAGGGATTGATAGAATGATTAATATTACTGGCTTATTGGTATTTTTAATATGCATTTTAAGCTCTTTCAAGAGAGCTATCATTATTAGCGAGATAGCTTTTGTTTATGTTGAATTTAATTGGAGTGAGTATGCTCTAATCGACTATATTATCCTAAAAGACTCTATTTTAATGTATTTTAGCATTTAACTTGATTGAAGCTTAACCAACTGATTAGACATCAAGTTTAGAAGATCTCTTACTACCTATAGATTGTCTATCATCGATAAGAGATTTTCCTCTGGAATTATCTCTTACACCTGAGTGATAAGATACGTTTATATTATTAAGTTGAGGAAGCCCAAATTCTTATGAATCCTCATATTACTAATAATTGTCATTTTTGGAAAGATGATTCATAGAATCAGCTCTAGAATAATTCTTATTTGATCTTCTGTCTGACACTAGACCTTTGAAATCACTCATTTTGGATCTAGATATTTTCTTAATATTCAGTCTTGAAGGATAAGGCTTATTATTAAAACTCGAATCGAATTCATTATTATATTCCTGCAGAGATTTATCCTTGCTAGGCAATCTTTTATCACTCATTTCAGAAATTTTGTGATTATCTGTATTATCATCATCCGATTCTTCCTCTATTTGATCCTAAATATGCTGAGGTTGTTTTATATTTTGGCTAGAACCTTAGTTTACAAATAGCTTCATAAAGGTATTATTTGCAAGATTATCTCTATTTTATATGAACTATTCTCTTTATAACTTAATATCACTTTGATTTTCTTACACATACTGTTTGTAAAATGTAAGATCTTATTTAACAGGAGGCCCTAATACATCAGGATCCAAGTAACTAAAATTTGGGAAACCCATATTTCTAGCCTTTTTAGGCTCTGAATCATCATTTATGTCAGTATCTTCTTCCTATTCACCAAAGCCTTTGGGTGCCTTTTTTAGCGAGCTATTGTTGGATGGAAGTTACTTGACCTTATCTTGTAAACTCTTAAAGTTTTTCTCGAAAGCTGTATCCAGTTTTACCCCAATTCCTAAATCTGCTATGGTATTTTTCTTATTATCACTATATTCATCCTCATCCTTGCTTTCATCATCTTTAAAGTAAGAACTCTACTACTCTTGTTCATGGTGAGGGACCTCCTTGGGGATCTTTGAAGATTTTCTTGTGGATTTCCTATTGCTCTTTTACTTCTCTTCTTCTATGACTGCAAAATCTACACCGAATTTATTCTTATTTCATTTAGCTTTGATTTTATTTGAAGCAAGTAATGAATCAGGAGTATCATAAATTGTTGATTAATGATATTCAGATGTTGATGATTCAAAGGTCTAAGTGAGCATAGTCTGGTACATCTAATTTCCCTAATTATTAGATTTATCCAGCATTTCTAGCTATTCTTTATTTAGATTCGAAGCCTGAGATGTTGGCTGCTCTGTTAGATTAGAGAGCCTGCTTTCATTAGGTTTTTAAACTGAAGGTGGTCTTTATCCTTGCTCCTTCACATATTCATTCTAATTATTGCCTTGTATTTTAAGATGATTCAATTTCTAATCTTATTCATGAATACTTCCATCCTAGTTCTAATTCCTATTTAATTCTTGCTATAACTTACTCTATTACACTTTCAGATGAAGTTGATTGGTGAACATGGGCTAACTTGATGGATTTAAATTTATACTACTTTTTTAAATTATCTGGACAGGCTATGATGGTTTTTTTATTTTAATTTTTTCTAAATTTGCTACCTATTAAATCTTGACTTCCTGTTCCTTAATATCATTCTTCACTTAGTTTATTTATTCATTTACCACTCTCATAGTTTGCTCTTGAACCTTTTTTGACATTTCCATAGCAAGTTTTAGAGCATCTATACCAGTTATGCCTTAGATATCTGATTGATTTCAGTGGCCAGAGGACATCTAGCTAACTGGACTTTTCAAAATAGTTTTGTTGTTAGTACTAGAATCCATTATTAATAATGTTTTTTTTCTTCTCTGGAACTATATTTTTTTAATTAAGAGAGCTAGGACCAATTAATATTATATCTCAATTATCATTCTCAATTGTTTTCTATTAAAATACTATACTTACGCATGGGGTTTTGGGGTTTTGGGGTTTT